CGGGGCGCGGGTTGGAGCGCACTCGAGGGCCCGGGTCGGGGCGGTCTGGTGGGGTTGAAGGTGCATGGGGCCGGGGGCTAATCCTACACCCCTCTCCCCCCGGGCCCGGCCCGGCCCGGCACTGCAGCGCTTCTCCTTACGGTGCCTGGAACAAACGCGCGGGCTCCCCGGAGTGGTGCCACATGCGGCCCCGCTCTGCTCTTCCTTCCTCCAAACCGCTGCGCTTCCCTTTACCTACGTGAGGAGGCGGGGGAAGGAGGGCGGCTTTTGAAATGCGACCTGTAGCCAGCAGACAGAAGCCTTCTAGGTGGTGGGGGTGCAGGGAAAGTAGTATTCAGGGTGGAGAAGCTTGAGCTTCCCCTAGATGTCCTGCGCGCTCCAGCTGCCGCACTGTGAGGTGGTTTATATAAATCACACAGAAATGGGGTAGAAGGGACCTCCAGAGGTCACCTAGTCCCAGCCCTCTGGCTGAGGCAGGGCCCAGCTGTACAACTTCCCAAGTTATTATCCAAGTTGGACTTCTCCACTAGATGTTTAAAATCCTCACCTGGTCTGATAGTTATGCCATGGTTTGGTGTTGAAATGTTTGAGCAAACGAAATACTAGATGGAGTGATTGAAAACACAGTAAGGATTTGGTTATAAGTTGCAACAGGGCAGATTTGAGCTAAGACTTAATTTTAATAAGGGCTGTCATGGAAGTCCTCAGGCAACATAGAGGCTTGAGGGGTTTTACTGTGCATGTTCTTTTGAACCAGGCCTTTTCCTCTTGGCTCTAAAATAAAGTAAAAGTGGAAAACCTGCAAGTTGGTGTTTTTAAAGCTTCAGGGAAAAAGAGGTTACTTTTAGATGTTTCCTGTAAGTTAACAGATCCTGTGATGGACCCACTGGGATAGTAAATTCTGCAGTTGAGGATGCTCCTCTGGTAATGTTTAGTATCCCACCCTCAGGCATGCAGGTGTAGGTCCTGTGCACAGAAGCATCCCTATGAACTTCAGTGTCGCCATAGCAGGGAGGCAGTTATTTATGTCTATGTGATCCAAAGCACCTTATGTAGGGTTGTAGTTTTGCTCTCTTTCTATTTAAAAAAAAAAAAAAAAAAAAAAGTTGTTACATAAAGAACATAATTGCCTCCTTTGGTTTTGATAGACTTTTTTGTGTAGCGTAGGGTGGTGAAGGAAATGCAACTACTAGCTTATATATACATTTTTAGTGAACTATTCTAGATCTTTTTACAGAACTCAAACCCAATGAGAGAGCAAGTAAGAGCTGCAGAATGTAGGCCCCTGGCAAACATTGCTTTTTGCATAACATTAATGTGTGAATTGCTTGATTAAATATCTTACCTGTGTGGTAAGTTGCATTTAAAACAGATAAAACACAAAACCAACCACAAAGATGTTCCATATTTATCACTCTTAATTTTGAATGTGTGGCATGTAGGCATCCAGGAGCAGTACATGCAGCCCAGCTGCATGGACAGACATCCTCTGAATGTGTTGGTTTGTGGGAAGCTGGCACGTTCAAAGGGAAGTGGTGCAACTGGATTTCACTGAGCTTTGTAAAAGTCTCAAGTCTGGAAAATCTGAGACTAGGAAGCTTCCCCTGATTACCCAGGACCTTTCAAAAACAGGGTGCAGCTGGTCCCTGGGCATAAGGTCCTGGGGCAGTGTGAACTTGACATTGGGGAGCTCCCAAGTTGCTCACACAAGAGGGGAACTGGTCTGCCTGTGTTACATGTGGCAGCAGAGGAGGGAGCTGCCATTGTGGCACACAGCAGCAAAGGGCCAGGAGCAGGGTGAGCTTGCACATGCAGTGCCAGGCAGCTGGGCTGCCTGTGCTACACTTATGGTCCGGGCAGGGTGGGGTGGTCCTCTTGGCTGTTGAGAACTTGGACAGCCCTGATCCAGATGGTGCCTTAAAAGACGAGGCCCTTTCGGAGAACCAGAGAAAGGAATTGCACTAACTTTTCTTTTCTTTTCTTTTTTTTTTTAAATAGAATGATAATCCCTTGCTCTTACTACTTCCTTCCTCCTTCCCTATGTGGTTTTCTTGGGTGGCTGAGACCCCTTCCCCCATACTGGGTTTTTGTGGTTAATTGAATGATTTAGTAACCATGCATTAAAAGTATCTGTCAGCTGACAAACGGAAAGGAGGGTAGCTTCCATAGCAGTTGAAAGGATCATAATGCTGTGGCACAAATACTCTGTCAAAATGACTGGTATCTCATTTACACATTTTAGAAGATGCTGTTCAGACCTTTGAAAGCATGTCAGTTGTCAAAAGAATGATATCAAGTTCTCTGAACTTAGAGTTAAATTGAGCAAAGTACTCTGGGCCTGTGTACTTATTTGCCAGGTAAAAGCTATGTACAAAATTCAATTTAGTCAAATAAATTCCAGTAATGTATATTAAAATTTCAGAGAATTGCATTTATTCCCCAAAGTAGTTCTATAAAGTATGAAAATACACAGTTAAGTTGATACAGTGTCAACTCTGCCTTGTAGTAACCCCATACAGTGATCATCTAATCCAATGTGTTCAAAATTTTTTACCCAGTAGGCTGAATGGTGGGTTTTGATCCAGCACCTAGGGCCAGCATGACAGCCACCATCTGGCCATGGAGGGGGAAGGGGACTTCACCCAGCTCTGCTGGGGTAGGGGGAAGGTGGGAATATGATCTGGCCCTGTGTAGCGGGGAAGGGGATGTGGCCTGGCCCCAGCCCATCTTTGCGGGGGGTGGGCAGGGGGGGGCATTTCCTAGCCTTGGGGTGGGGGGAGAATGGGCCATGGCCTGGCCCTGCTGGGAAAAGGATATGAATCAGCCTTGTTGGGTGGAGGTCTGACTCCAGCCTGGCCCTGCATGGGGAAGGGGGCACAGCCTGGCTCTAACTGGGCATGTGAGGCTTGGGGTTTGGTACTTTTACAGCGGGGAGTGAGAGAAGTTTAACCACGTTAGTACAGCACTAAAGGAAAAATAAACACCACTTCTCAGACTTCATAAGCAGGTCCTGTTGGCACACACACAAAGCCATGCTAACACAACTATGCTACTTCCAGTCCTGGAGATAAGAGCTTGTACATAGAGTGGTGCATCTTTGTGCACTGCTGCCTTGCACCACCGTACCGACATACCTGTTAAGCCCAGTTTTTGTTCTTCAGGTGACAGGCATGGCTTCCTGCACCTCTTTGTGGATGGAACCCTGCAACCCTACTGCAGTCCTACTGGTGGGGATCCACCCTGGCCAGATGCGATGGCTCTGTGAGCCGTTTGGCCTGTGGGCCAGAGTTTGAGTACCCCAATCCAGCCTCATTATCTTTCTCTTTAATTTTAATTATGAATTTCCAGTCATTAGAATGTTTTGTTTGTGGGGTGTGGGTTTTTTGTTGTTTTTTTGTTGTTGTTTTTTTTGATTATTGCAACATTTTGATGTAGCTTATTTAAAATTATTTGTATGTATGCTCCATCTTCACTCCTTTTTTCTGTTAAGGAATTTCCATGTCTCTTTAAATTAAACAGTTCATAAACATCATACCTAAACAAAAAACGTGTAAGAATCTGATATTTTAATTATCTGAAGATGTCATATCAGTTTTTTTGAAATGATGGGTGTTATTACTAGTACTGTTTAATTAGCTCTACTCCTGAGCAGTAACAGTTAAACAGCAAGGAAGTGTTGCTAATTAAGGTAGATATGGACAGCTGCTTTGCATCACCAAAACAACCAGAGCATACACCTCCGTTTCTTTCTTCCTTCTGTATTCCATATTTTTCTATACAATTAATCCCTCCTATGTTTAAGTTGTTAGGGTGTTTCAGGTAGTTTGTAGAAATAAGTATTTCAAGTTAATGTTAATTTTTACCATTGTAATTCATAACTAAAATGTCAGTCACCTTTAAAAGGACAGATGCATAAAATCTCTTCTTCATGCAAACCTGGATATTGCCCACTTCCAGAATGGCCACTACATCCTATTTCCACCAGTAGGAATGAAGCAAGGGACTTCTCGGAGAAGATAGCATATTATTCTCCTAAGGGGGGGAAAACCTTGCTAGGAGCAAGTTAGGAAGCAGTGGCTATCTTTACTAAGGAAGCTTGTGGCCTTTGCTCCTTTGAAAATAATTGGAGATAATAGATTTTCGAAATGAGCAGTTCTTGGAAGATTATAGGAGGTCTTGCGGAATAATAAGTATGGTTAAGGGCCTGCAGACCAAGCCCTACGACGAGAGACTAGAGAAACTGGGCCTTTTCAGCCTCCTCAAGAGAAGGTTGAGAGGCGACCTTGTGGCTGCCTATAAGTTCATCATGGGGGCACAGAAGGGAATTGGTGAGTATTTATTCACCAAGGCGACCCTGGAGGTTACAAGAAATAATGGCCACAAGCTAGCAGAGAGCAGATTTAGACTGGACATTAGGAGGAACTTCTTCACTGGTGGCCTTCTACGATCAGGTCACTAAATCATTGGATGCAGGGGTAGCAGTGGATATAGTCTTCCTGGACTTCCGGAAGGCTTTTGACACTGTCTCTCACCCCGTTCTCATTAGGAAACTGGGGGACTGTGGCGTAGACACCCACACAGTCCAATGGGTCGCCAGCTGGCTAGAGAGCCACACCCAGAGGGTGGTAGTGGATGGGTCCTTCTCGGCCTGGAAGGACGTGGGCAGTGGGTCCCGCAGGGCTCGGTCCTCGGGCCCGCCCTGTTCAACATCTTCATCAGTGATTTGGATGAGGGGGTGCAAAGCACCCTGTTCAGATTTGCTGATGATACCAAGATGTGGGGGGATGTGGGCACAATAGAAGGGAGCAACAGGCTACAGTTGGACCTTGACAGGTTACAAGGATGGGCGGAGGAGAACAGGATGGGGTTCAACACAGACAAGTGCAAGGTGATGCACCTGGGGAGGAACAACCGGCACCATACCTACAGGCTGGGGAACTCCCCTCTTG